TGTTATCCTGTCCTTCTAGTTTTGGGGCATCAGAAACCAATACATTACATGGGAGTGCGGCGATCCTCTGTGCTGGAACTCGATTCTCCAATAAAAATTGACTAGTCCTGGCTACTGGATCAGATCTTATTAATCCAGCTTTCCCCGAGGTAGATAGAGTTGCCGCCTACTCCTCACTTATTACTTATTACACTACCCAACAAAAGGGAAAGATTAACTAAGAGTTCTTTCGGAACGGAGATTTTCAAAAAACAAATTTTTGTTATTCCCTTAAATATTTTGCCGCAATAAATAGTTGGGGAGGAGAGTTCTTCTGCGTCGTCGTCGCCTCCTCTTGGTTATTTGATAAAAAATGAGATTGTTGACGAAGAAGCTGTTCTAAAATTTATCGGTCAGATCTCTTCTATGCCTTCCATTTGATTCGGCTAATTCTATAGTGCTAAGTATTAACCAAGTATCGCACAGCTTCCAGAACCCGGGCAAAACCGGGAACTTTGAAATTCAATAACAAGAGAACTATGTCCGACCGCCAAGTTCTTTTTGCTCGTAAATCCTTAAGAACACGCGGTCCATCGAGGATAACTTTTTCTCGAATTTCGGGGTTGAGTTCCCTAATCAAGAGTATTACCAGACTTTTTATCTATTTTGTTTTTAGGTATTGCTAGGAGAATCAGTTAAGCGGTTTCAGAATTGTCTAAGAATAACGGTGTGACGTTGTGGTTTGATTTTTCTTTCTACAATCGTTGCATACCATGCTTTCTTTTGTTGGAAAGACTTACTAAGATTGCTTAAGTAGCAAAATATGAGATTGCCTGCTATTCAACTACTTGCAAGACCTACTTTTTATTTGCAGGGAAATAAAATCTTGGCATTCCTTTGGTCGACGCTATCCGCTTGAATAGGCCATGACAGGTTTTTCGAGAGAATCAATTCCAGATTAAGCTAAGGGATTAAGTCATCTTTTCCGCGCCATCTGCAGTCCAGCTCCGAGTCCCAACATGCATATTGGACCTTGAGGAAGTGGACGCCGGATATGGAACGGGGTTGTACCGCCTGATGCTGCATAAAGTTGCCTAGCATTCTGGTAATGGCTGGTGATGGCTCCTCCAGCTGTCCCTTAGCGGGCGACCTTATTTCGTCCTCCCTATAGAGGCCGGCGCGTTCTCCATCTCTGCTTTATCTGCCAAGTAGCTGGTGGAGGTGGACCCCTCGTCGGAGATCGAGCGTCTTCGGCATGTTCCTTCCCACTGGGATTCTCTAGTGGATCTCCTCCAGTACTTCAACTATTCTGCGGATTGGCCCTGTCGTGGTATTGCTTCGTGTCGGTGAAATCCCACAATAATGGGCAACAGCTTGGATAAGGCGTCCATTTTCATCTACACTGACCTTCTGCAGGCTTTTTTGGTGCTTTCCTTACATTTTTATACCCGTTACTCGTAGAGTAAAAGGGTATACTAGATTCGTCGGAAAGTATGTAACAGGCAGAAGGAAGCGTTTCCGACCCCATAAAGTATATATATTCTTGATCAGGATCACTAGCCGAGTCGATCTAGCCATGTCCGTCTGTCCGTCTGTCCGTCTGTCTGTCCGTCCGGATGAACGCTGAGATCTCGGAAACTATGGGAGCTAGGCTGTTGAGATTTGGCGTGCAGATTCCTGAGCTTCTTACGCAGCGCAAGTTTGTTTCAGCAATGTGCCACGCCCACTCTTACGCCCACAAACCGCCCAAAACTGTGGCTCCTACAGTTTTGATGCTAGAATAAAAATTTTAACATAAGTGTATTCTTCTCATCAATACCTATCGAGTGACCCGAAAAAAAATTGCCACGCCCACTCTAACGCCCACAAACCGCCCAAACCTGTGACGGCCACAGTTTTCATGCTAGATAAAAAATTTTAACTGAAATGTATTGGTGTCGTCAATACCTATCGATTAATCCAAAAAAAATTTTGCCACGCCCACTCTAACGCCCATAACGCTTAAATCTGTCTACCGCCGGTAGGTGGCGTATTTAAATCTCGATTTGCTGCTTGCATATCTCCATTTCCCTTTGGTCCCTTTAGCTGAGTAACGGGTATCTGATAGTCGAGGTACTCGACTATAGCGTTCTTCCTTGTTAAATTTGAGTTTCCACATCACATTAGCATGAACACCTCCAAAGATTAAATTTCTTATTCTTTGGGTCGCGGCTAACGGCGTACATAGAAATTTACTCGCTAAATCTGATATTTTTTGGTATTTCCTTAGCTCATCTGAGTACCGCGCTGAAAAATAGACCCGACGAAAAGCGTTAGCCGCGTATTTGCCTTTCGCTCACTCCCATGGTTAGCTTGCGTTTTTCGTTGATGTGAGTAGTAGGCTTAATACATTTCAGTTAACATTTTGTCTTGCATGAAAATTTGTGGTGGAACAGCTTTGGGCGATTTGTGGGCGTGGCATGTTTGCATAGCAAACGTGCGCTGCGTACAAAGCTAAGGAGTCTAAATCTAAAATCCTAATTCACTATCTGTTATAGTTTCCAAGATACCAGCTTTTAAAATTACGATGTTTGTGGTAGGGTTGTTGGATTTTGAAAAAATATCGTATCGATGATATTTGCTGTTTGAAAAATATCACACGATGATATTAACAAATATCATAAAAAAATATCGATATATCGATAGTGTAGTGTAGTGTTGGTTAGCTTGCGTTTTTAGTTGATGTGAGTAGTAGGCTTAATACATTTCAGTTAACATTTTGTCTTGCATGAAAATTTGTGGTGGAACAGCTTTGGGCGATTTGTGGGCGTGGCATGTTTGCATAACAAACGTGCGCTGCGTACAAAGCTAAGGAGTCTAAATCTAAAATCCTAATTCACTATCTGTTATAGTTTCCAAGATACCAGCTTTTAAAACAAGGAAGAACGCTATAGTCGAGTACCTCGACTATCAGATACCCGTTACTCAAAGGGAAATGGAGATATGCAAGCAGCAAAGCGAGATTAAAATGCGCCACCTACCGGCGGTAGACAGATTTAAGCGTTATGGGCGTTAGAGTGGGCGTGGCAAATTTATTTTTGGATCAATCGATAGGTATTGACGACACCAATACATTTCAGTTAAAATTTTTTATCTAGCATGCAAATTGTGGGCGTCACAGGTTTTCGCGGTTTGTGGGCGTTTAAGTGGGCGTGGCAAACTTTTTTTTGGGTCAATCGATAGGTATTGATAAGAACAATACATTTCAGTTAAAATTTTCTATCTAGCATCAAAACTGTAGGCGTTACAGTTTTGGGCGGTTTGTGGGCGTGGCAGTCTACTGAAACAAACTTGCGCTGCGTAAGAAGCTCAGGAATCTGTACGCCAAATCTCAATAGCCTAGCTCTCATAGTTTCCGAGATCTCAGCGTTCATCCGGACAGACAGACGGACAGACGGACATGGCTAGATCGACTCGGCTAGTGATTCTGATCAAGAATATATATACTTTATGGGGTCAGAAACGCTTCCTTCTGCCTGTTACATACTTTCCGACGAATCTAGTATACCCTTTTACTCTACGAGTAACGGGTATAATTACGATGTTTGTGGTAGGGTTGTTGGATTTTGAAAAAATATCGTATCGATGATATTTGCTGTTTGAAAAATATCACACGATGATATTAACAAATATCATAAAAAAATATCGATATATCGATTTTTTTTTTATATTTTTTAGTGTTCAGATAAATTTGAAAAATGGTGTCCTGTTGCTGTAAATTTGGGTCTTTTATAGGCCTTTTATAAAAAAACCCTCAAACTCAAACTCCCACAACATCATAAAGTTCCTAAAAAGTTCAAAAATTATGCACAAAATATAAATAAACATCAATGTAAATACAATTAGAATCTAAGGATCCCATAAATAGTATAATCTTGTAAATATGTATATAATCTCACAGTAAACCCACAACTTAAGCCCGGAGCAAACGCTTAAGCTGCTATGGCTCCAAAAAAACCACTGTTAGCGCTTAGTTTAATACTATTTGTTAGCATTAGATAAACAAACAAATAAAATAACAACATTATTAGGGATATGGCACAGCCCATTGTTTTCAATTTTATTTATAAAGATACTGATTACATACATTTGAACTTATTGTTTTAAATTATAATTTATGAAATTACATACATTTGTACTTGTTTTTAATTAATTCGCAAACAAATCTGTTTTTAATGATATAAGAAAAATTCGTTCGGTTACATGCTGGTCTGTCATACGACTACGGGAGTCATAAACAACACACTTTATGGCAGAGGCCAACAGTTCCGATGAAACCGAACTACCAGGCGTGATCAGGCGACTTAATGCCACCTTCGCTAGCATGAGAAAGCTGTAGAAAAGCTGCATTTCCTTTCTTTCGGAACTCTGGACTCCGAGTCTCGGAGCTCTATGGTCCTGTTGTGCAGATCTAGAAAAGATTCCTGTATGCTTAAAGCGACCATGTCCTGTTCTCCGCAATCCATTTCTCCTACAGACGAAGGTAGTATTTCTGATTGCTTTTTTTCAACCATCTGCTTTATGATTTCATCAGTGACATTTTTTACGTGAAGAGGAATATCGAAATACATTTTTTTAAGTCGAGGGTCAAGCATTGTGGCTTTCATGAGTATGTTATTCTGCAGCAAACCACTCAATCGCTTTTGTGATATTTGTAGAAGGGTATCTTTTGTTAGAATGCCCTCAGCGGTAACCATATTAGCTTCTTTTAATTTTGTATTAATCATAGAAATCATAGGATTTCTGTGTGCATTTCGCAGAAGTATCATTTGATTCTGTATAAAAATCTTTTGCTGCACTCATTTTCACATACACTTCTCACATTGCTTTCTGGCTTAAGAGTGACCAAACATAAAAAATCGGAAATATCATTAAAAAATATCGTCAAAATCGTCTTTTTTTGCCCAAAAAATATCGCGATGATAATATTATTTTAAGAGAAAAAATGTCGATATATAGATATTTTGATATATTTCCGACATCCCTAGTTTGTGGGCGGTTTGTTAGGTCGATCGACAGCTGTTCGCAAGAACTATACATTTCAGTAGAAATCTTTTTTCAGCACTAAAACTGTAGGAGCTATAGTTTTGGGCGGCTTGTAAGCATCAGAGTGGGCGTGGCATGGTCGCGAACGAAAATAAGGAACATTAATCTGAAATCTCAACCCTATTGCTCTTATAGTTTCCGGGATCACAGCGTTCACACGGGCAGATCGACTTGGCTAGTGATGCTGATCAAGAATATGTATGTTTAATGGGGTCGGAGACGCTTACGTCTACCTGTTACATACTTTTCCCCGAATACAATATACCCTTTTACTTTACGAGTAACGGGTTAAGTATAAGAAAGTTTGTATTAAGCCTGTGTGACATACATAATCTGCTTGTTGGTGGAACGTTGATAAACTTGTTCGTTGAAATGCGAAATTGTATGGAAATTTCCATACAAGTACATGAATGCATTATGTAGCGTCAGCTTCATCCAAAAGTAAAACTCAGTAAAGTTTACATACTTAGCTATGTATTTGTACAGAATTTATTCATACATAGTTAATAGTAATTTTGTACGTTTAACAAAGTTGTTAGTTATTATTACTAAAGATATTTCCAAACAATATTGCACCACTATTATCGTCATACTCATTAATTCAAATTCATCATTAGCGTTTGGCGGAACAAACCCACTGTTAAATGCAGCTTCCAGTTGCTCCTCCAAACCCATACTTGTGGCGATTCCGTAAATTAGGCGCATTAATAAAAGTCTAATAAAGTTTGGTGTGTTTGTATCTTTGCCTTTGTTAATAGACAGTTTCTTAGGATCTTCAAAAACAAGTTGGCTTTCTTTATTATTAGAAATTGTGCTAAGCGGCATTTCTTTAATTATATTTTGACTTAAAGTTGGAATACACGAAATTATAACTGTGACTACAGCAACCCAAATATGTATGAGATTCATGTTACTATGGTTATTGTAACGTGCAGTATACATATATACATACATATGTACTTTAAAAATAACTGTGGATGTAATGACCCGAGCTTGTAAGTCGCATTTACATATTAGGTTTCTCAACTTTGAATAACAAAACAAGAACACAAGTAATGTATCTTTGGCTATAATTATAAAATAAAAAACTTGGACATATGCATACTGCCTACTGATATACACATGTACATACATACAAAACAGATATTTGCTGTTTTATGTCAATATGTAGCTTTTACACTGCTTCAAAAACAGCGGATTTTTTCATATACTTGATTTTCTTATGAGAGCTATTGGGAAATTCTGTTGATAGGTTTCAATAGTGTACTAAGTGAAAATACAGTGTTCAGTTATTTCCGATTATAACAATGCGATTTTCATTTTTTGAATTTTAAAATGATTGTGAAAGGCTCAAACCGACTCGCGGGAACGCAGCTACCGCCACCGCAGCGTTCTGCAGACAGCACTGCTGTGGAGCTTGGAAGGCCGCAGGATCATCTTAATATGATTAAATTAATTTTCAGAACTCGAAAGATATATACCTAGCGGTATTCTTAACCAAATAACATGCAACTTGTTAATTGTTATATTATTAAATATTATATTAATTGACAATGATTAAAGGAATATCAAAATAAACGTTTTAAAATAATGAATTAATAATATTATAATTAAAATAATACTTAATTGGTTCTTTATCTGACCAAAATTGTAATACCGTTTCCAAGGGTAAAATAAAATATAATAAAAAAAACCCAAATACATGCATATATGTGCATTAGGGTGGACTAATTTAATATGAGGTAATCTAGATATCACCTTTAACAAGAAATTGTGTGTGGAATTTAAAAATTAACACGGAAGAACGCTATAGGCGAGTACCTCGACTATCAGATACCCGTTACTCAGCTAAATGGAGATATGCAAGCAGCAAAGCAAGATTAAAATGCGCCACTTACCGGCGGTAGACAGATTTAAGCGTTATGGCCGATCAATCGATAAGTATTAACGAGACCAATACATTTCAGATAAAATTTTTTATCTAGCATGAAAATTGTGGGCGTCACAGGCTTGGACGGTTTGTGGGAGTTAGAGTGGGCGTGGCACTCTGCTGAAACAAACTTGCTCTGCGTAAGAAGAAGAATCTGCACGCCAAATCTGAATAGCCTAGTTCTTATAGTTTCCGAGATCTCAGCGTTCATCCGGACAGGCAGACGGACAGAAGGACATGGCTAGATCGACTCAGCTAGTGATCCTGATCAAGAATATATATACTTTATGGGGTCGGAAACGCTTCCTTCTGCCTGTTACATACTTTCCAACGAATCTAGTAATCCCTTTAACTCTACTTGTAACGGTTATCAAAATGTAAGGAAAGCCTTAAAACGCCTGCAGGAGGTCCGTACAGATGAAAAAGGTCGCCTTATCCAAGCCGTTGCCCATTATTGTGGGATTTCACCGACACGAAGCAATACCACGACAGGAAAAATCGGCAGAATAGTTGAAGTGCTGGAGGAGATCCATTAGAGAAAGGAACATGCCGAGTGGGACTTCGCTTGATTTCCGACGAGCTCTCCTTTAAGGAACCACCTGACTCCACCGCCACCAGCTTCTTGCCAGCTAAAGCAGAGATGGAGAACGCGCCGGCTTCTATAGAGAGGAAGAAATAAGGTCGCCCGCTAAGGGACAGTTGGAGGAGCCATCACCAGCCATTACTAAGATGCTGGGCGACATCATGCAGCATCGGGCGGAACAACCCCGTTCCTAGTCCGGCTCCCACTTCCTCAAGGTCCAATATGCTTATTTGGATTTGAAGGTAGACTGCAGATGGAAAGATGTAATTTACTTAAATAAAAAATTCGGTGAACATTCCATTTAATTTTTTGTTAATTTGTTTGTGCACCAGTAGACTCTTCTTTTTTAAATTGCTCTAATCGATTTGTTTTCCGTTTGGCAACAAACCCAGCTGCTTGACAGTAAGACCATGCCACATGCATTGCGGGTGAACTTTGCAAACTTCGGTCACACTACAAAGAATACGATTTTTCGACTAGTGAAACTCTTTGCTGATCTGAGTACATAGAAAATCGCTGAAGCGAACAGCTGATCGGCATAAGAAAACCGTGTCCAATGAGAGAGGATGCGCAAATTTAGTATTTCCGATAAAAATGGAAAACAACAATGAGGATTGCTCTTAGCAAAATGATCAGGAATGAGATTTCTAATCAGTCAAAATTTAATAGGAACTTTTCTGTGCCAACAGTGACGTCACTAGAATTTCCACAAGTTTCAACCGTTTAGAACCTTTTAAATATTTATAACACATTTCTCGTATACGGTTCTTTGATTATATACATTTAAGCAACAATTTTGGAGATGGGTGTGCCTTTAAATTGCTTCTTCTTTAGATAAATAATGTATGTTTTGGTGACCCTTTGCAAGGTCTTTGGCGTTCATCGAAAATTCACTGGCGAAATCAGGTATTTTTTCTGGTATTTCCTTAGCTCATCTGAGTACCGCGCTGAAAAACAGACACGACGAAAAGCTTTAGCCGCCTGTTTGGCTCTCGCTCACTTCTATGGTTAGCTCGTGGTTTTCGTCGATGTAAGTACTAGGCTTAAAGTGCAACAGCGATATTAAGCGGCTGTGTGCAGAGGCTATAAGGCTATAAGCCTATAACCCAGCAACTCCACCCTAGTGTAAAAAGGCTTTAAAAATTACAATTTTGTTCATTGATTAAGCCGAGTAACTCACATCGACGAAAACCGCGAGCTAAGGAAACACCAGAAAAAATACCAGATTCAGCGAGTGAATTTCTATGAACGCCGTTAGCCGCGGCCCAAAGAACAAGAAATTTAATCTTTGGCGGTGTTCATGCTAATGTGATGTGAACACTATAAATAAAAAATGTAAGGAAAGCACCAAAAAAACCTGCAGGAGGTCAGTGCAGATGAAAAAGGACGCCTTATCCAAGCTGTTGCCCATTATTGTGGAATTTCACCGATCGGAAACAATACCACAACAGGGCAAGTCCGCAGATAGTTGAAGTGCTGGAGGAGATCCACTAGAGGATCCCAGTGGGATTTCGCTATCTATATGAACATCCTACCGGGCGTGTCCTCGCAAAGTAAGTCCTGGCCAAAAGAACTTGGTGACATTGTACTTATATAAGTTTCTTTTTCGCGGAACCACTAGTAATACTATCCCTGACTAGCTCTCCGTTGGGAAATCGCTGGACTTCACCATTACCAGCTACTTGGCAGCTTATGCGGAGCTGCAGGACATGTTGGTTTCTATGGGGAGGAGGAAAAAGGAACAGCTGTAGGAGCCATTTCCAGCTATTTTCAGAATGCTGGTCGACTTCCTGTAGCATTAGACGGAACAGCCCCGTTTCCAATTCGGCTCCTACTTCCTCAAAGCCCAATATGCCTATTGGGACCGGAACTGGACTGCATAAGGCTCGCGAAAGATGGCAAAGCATCCGTGGGACGAGAAGGAAGCTTTATTCTACTAATTTACATGAATAAAAACATTTGTTGAACATTCCATTCCGTTACTCGTAGAGTAAAAGGATATACTATATTCGTATGTAACAGGTAGAAGAAAGGGTTTCCGACCCCACAAAGTGTATATAAATTAAGTATTGTAGTTGTAGTCTTCCCTCGCCGCTGTTAGTAATGACCTGGTGTCTAATCGACGATATTCCAATTGGTGTTGGTGGCCGGTTGGCCGGTGGCTGTCAGTAATGACGTGATGTCCAATCGACGATATTCCAATTGGTGTTGGTGGCCGGTTGGCCGGTGATCCCCTAATGTTGATTTAGGTAGTTTAGGATGGAAGGGTTATTGCCCTTCTAACCTGCTGGCCTAGAGACTCAGACAGTTTGAAGTGATAAGAAGCTAACGGCGGTTCGCCGGAGTTAAATCAAATGGAGCACAAGCTCTTTATTCAGTGAATGACAAATGAGAACTAAAACTTATAAGCTGTACCCTGGCTAAACGTGGCCGGAAAGCCGGCCGCTTGTCATACAAAAACTAGCAGAAAGTGCATAACTCACCAAGCCAAGAACCAGGCACGGCTCCTAAAGGCCTTTATACTGAGTCTGCACATAAAAACACTAGGGTGACCCGAGAACCGCCCAAGATTTGTACCGACTTATAAGTTACTCCTTAACTGTTTTAACTACTCCCCCCTTAGAAGTGTGACCGTCCTCGGTCATCTGGAATTTATCGACGACCTGTTGTATTTCCCGCACCGCTCGCTGCCTTCGCAACACTCGGAAGAGTAGGATAGAGCAGCTGATAAGGATGCTGAGTCCCACGCCGACAGTGAACCAGCTGTTGGTGACTCCAGCCGATTTCACCTCCTTCTTTAGCCCTTGGATAACCTCCAAGTTTTGGTTGTTCATTCTTTGGAGAAGGGGCATACTTAGCACTGGATTATGGCCGATGATGTTTAGCAATGGGGATGCCGCCATGACCGGTGTTTTTTTGATAGCTTCACGTTGATTCGAATACTTAGTGCTATTGATAAAAGCTATTCGCTCGAAGGTGATGAGATGTGAACCGTTGATAGTTATCTCAGGGCCATCGTCAGTGCTGACCCGAGATGGACACTCGTTGATAATAAGTATGTGTGTGATGGGGCTTAGATGGCTGGCCTGCGTTTTGCATCGTGCTATACCCCCTGCATGTAGGCCTCGAGCGCAAGTATCGTGGGCTGCCAGCTTGCAGAAGGATGCGAAAGTTGTTTATACGCATTCAGTGACTGCTAGGACATCATTGTTGCATTCGGCTACTACGTTGTTCTGCAGTGTCAGGATGGTGTTGGTGTGATACGGGAAAGATTGTGACCTTTTTACATGTAATTTTAATTTTAGGATATGCAATCAGCACATGGATGATATTGTCGGACTGAAGGACTTTAATATTAGATGCCTCTAATAGGCTTATGATAGGGACCTGTGGGGGTGATCTACTAATACAGACTTCAAATCATCGTGGTTAAAAATAGCCGGGCTTATAATATTTGCCTTAGCAAGTGTGACTGTGAGCATTACATTTTGAATCTCGGATATTAATATTCTATTTCTGGCCAAAATAACATCGTTTAAGTGTGAAGTGACAACTATATTGTTTTGTTTTGCTTTAATAATTTTATTAACGGGACTCGGGCATTTTAAGCATTTTAAGGTCACCTTAAGTGCGGTACCTAAGAAGTCTAGACTCCTGGCCATCCTATGGTATATTTTTAACACGAACAATAAGCTTCTAATATGGTTAGTGTCGACCTCTAACAATTTTCGCATGTGCGACTGTGGGAATAAATCGGACAACTTAGCAGTATCGTCTATCATTGCTGAGAATTCCGTTAAATTGCTTGCCGCAAAACATGTCTCTGTTCCCACACCAGTGCGATCCCGATCCGTGACAGGTATGTATTGGGCGAGGGAGTAGTCTGTCACTCTAGCGTTAACTACAGCTAACGTTATTAATACAATTCCTGCGATCCTGTAAGAAAGCGAAAGGTTAAAACTACTGTGCACCTTATAGGGTAAATATGTGTAAGTGTCGGGTGCGTGTGAGCCGATAGAAAAATTAAAAGGGGTTTTATCTGAGGTTGACTTATGTACCTCCCTCCCTCTAATAAGAACAGACTTTCCCACTACCTCATTAGCGAGCTTAGTCATTTTTGGAAAATAGTAGTCCTGAAGGACTTGTTTCACATTTTCCTGGGCAGCCTTGTGGGCGCGGTTGTGTTCGCAAGTTATATTTTCAGACTGCTCATTTGCATTTGTGATATCATTCACGAATCTTTTACAGTGCCAGAACTTAGTTGCCGGGAACTCCAGCACCAGGGCATGCTGGATGCAAGCTAATGTGTGGAGGTCACAGTGAATGGCGTTCACAACATTCACGTTAACGACCTCTTTAACCAACTCGAGCAGTGAGTCTTTGTTATTGTAATGTATTATGTGGCGGGTTTTGCTCCCGAAAATTATAAAATTTCGCCGTGAAGGTTGGCTTGCTTCTTCCAGAATTATTTGATTCCTGAAGCAGTTCAAGGGTTTATCCGTGGATTCGACCGTGTAGGTCAAGGATACTTTGCTGTGCACAGTGGCAACATCGGATTGGGGTTCATTTTGCACTGAGTTAATGGCATCGGCCACAAAATTTTCCTTTCCTGACTTATAGAATACCTTTGCATTGTGTTCTTCAATGAATGCCTTCCCCCGTTTAATATTGGCATTAGTATTTCGCTCAGAAACGTGAGAGGTTGATGATCTGTGAAAATTCGAATTTCTTTGGAGCCATTTAGTAATATAGTAATATAGTAATTTTGTAATTTCACTATAGCCCAAACAATGGCTAACAATTCCCATTCGTTTGTAGCGTAGTTGAGCTCGCAGTCTTTTAATGTGCGAGATATCATCGTGATTGGCAGTCCATTTTGGGATAAAACGGTACCGATACCACTTGCATAAGAATCTTTAGTCAAGTCAAATCTGGATACCCTAATATGACCTCTTCAGATGATAAAATGTTCCGCAGGTGCTCAAAAGCGCTGCGTTGGCTCTCATCAAATTCGATTGCAACTTTGACGTCATCTACATAAACGTAACAGGTTTTCCCGATCTGCTCGCGTAGCACGTCGACGATTGCCCTTTGGAAAATGCTTCCTGCATTTTTTAGCCCAAAGGGTAGACTGCAGAACTTATATTTTCCTCCGTTTATGGAGAAAGAGGTCTTTTCACGGTCACATTCGGCCAAGTAAATCTGGTGGTACCCTGACTTTAGGTCTAGGGTAGTGGGTTGCCTTCCCTAAGTTCGCTAGAATCATAGGGATACTTGGCATAGGAAATCGATCACCAGTCGTTTTTTTTTGGTGCCATCGGCCTCGGAGCCTTTTTTGTCAACAACCCATGCTGGGCTGTTTAATGGCGACCTAGAAGGGCGAATAATACTGTCTTTTAGCAGCTGTTTGATTTCTTTATTAACAAATTCAGCCGCTCCCATGGGATTCGGGTATAGTTTAGAATAAACGGGTTCGTTACTTTCCGTACGAATCCTGGCAATGACCGAGGTGTTAAATGGAAGCGCCTCGTTAGTTCGAAAACACTTTACTCCTCTTAAGGATCATTTTTCTAGTCAGCTTTCACTGAGTTTGGGACTACTATTTCATCGACATTTGTGAAGTTCACGTTAGGGCAGTCGAAGAATTTAAGCTGTTCGGTTACGTTTCCGTACCTAATTTGGCTGCTACGTAAGTCTAATGCCGCTCCCGCCTGCGTTAGCAGATCGAAACCTATTATGGCATCAAACGTACTCAGGGTATCTAACAAAAAGAAAGGGGCCTTTAGGCCAAATATATGCATTAGGCATTTGTTTTTTATTTTACTGGAGCCATGTATGGTACTCACAGTAAATGGGGAGTTGACAGGCATACACATAATTCTTTGCCGCCCCAGTATCTATTAGAATTTTTATAGTTCTCCCCGCCAACCTTCGCTCAATGAACGGTAAGCGGGACCTTCCTCTAAAAAATTGAGAAGATCGTCAGAATCAAGTGAGTCGTTGTCCTGCTCAATTGCATTCAGTGCGGCTGCGGCCGTGCCTTCATAATCCTGTACTTCCTCAGCGGCTTGCTCAACGTTGTTTATCCGTTGGCGCCTTTGACTAATCATTCTTTCCGAAAGGTTTGATATTTTTGGGTTTTGTGGAGAGGGGGATTGTGTATTGTTCACCTGGGATGGTTTAAAATTCGACGGATGTCTAAGCTTAGAAAATGATGGATATCCATCCGTGGGCTCTGGGGCCTGCTCTGGTTTACCCCGATCTGTCCAGTTGTCATGTCTGCGCCAATAATCATTATTTTGATTTTTATTTTGTTTTTTGAAAAAATGGGAATTTTTTTCCTGGCCGCGATCGTTTCCTAAATATTTCCCTTGTTTCCGGGTACTCGCTGTTGGCCCTTGTGGAAGTCAGTACTCTGATTTCTCTGCTCGACAGCCTTGGCATGTGCGGCCGCGAATGTACATCGTTCAATACTGGCCTCTGCCTGCCTAGCTAGTGCCAGTGCTGCTGGCATATCTCTGGGCTGTGCTGGAAATACGACCGCCCTTAAGGACTTCTTTAGACCCGAAATAAATACATGCAGGGCGTCACCCCTGACCTCAGTATTGAGCAGTGTGGCTCTTTCTGTGTCATGTGTCATGACGATTTTGTTTGTCACAAGGGTTAACTTTCGTTCAACCTCATCGTAGTACTGCATAAAAGGCGCAAGGACGTTTTATCTGCGTCAGAGCAGTCTAATCTAGCCAAAATGGCATTAAGCACTGTATTGTACGATACCAGCAGCGCTCGTGCTGGTCCCCTAATCTTATTTCTTATAATTGTAACGGCCTGGTAATGCGCGCTACTGCCATTATATGGTTTAAATAACTCATAGACGTCTGTGGCGGACTGCATCCACGTCACGTATTCATCCTGTATCCCGGTAAAGTCTGGAATCGACTTTACTATGTGTAATGGATGTCGCACGACACTGG